AGCCAAGCAGGTGACCCTGGCCTTGACAAATGCATACTTCATCGCAAGTAATTCCTTGTCGTGGCCTCTCCGCATCCTAAAGCTGGCGAGATTTGAAAGCGTTCACCCGATGTCGCCCCTCGGCGTCTGCTTGCAGCAGTGCACAGCCGATGGCAAAGTTCGAAGCGCCACAGCCGACACTCAAAGAAAGATTGGCATCTGGCAACGCCAGTATTGGTGCATGAAGGAGGCTGTCTCAGACCCGTCAAAGCTCCTAATGCTCAATGTCCCAACACCATTTCGTATCCTTCTTAAGAAGATTCGACAATGATCGTGCCATTTCCTCATTATTCTCGATATACTTGGGCAAGTAATGGCGAAGCCAAGCCACTTGCGCAAGTTCTTTGAGTTCTTTGGAACCGGCCATCCCACAATGGCCCTGACCTTAGCGGGATCCGCTCGAAAGCCACACCCCCAATGAAGCATTCTCCAATAAAGGATTTTTTCAGCGCCAAAGACGCACTTGTTTGCATCAGCATACAGCTTATTCGGACACATGCACTCAAGCACCGCTCTCAAATGGCCAATGTGGTTCTCTATATCCGTCCTCCCGTGACCCGCACGACTGTGGACGAAGATGACGTCGGAGTATGTCTATGCGTACGCCCGGTGGGGCCTGATGAACTGCGTCGCGAGACAGTTATATGTTGCTGGTGCATTCGACAGCCCTCGAGGCATTACCAGCCACTTCAAGAGCATGCCGCTCGGAGTACTCACCGTTATCAGCGGAAGATTCTTCGCTCTCATGGGCATTTGATAATACCCATCGACCAAGCGGGTGAACAGTACTTTATGCATCCAACTATGTTGTTCTGGATAATATCACTCTTAGGAATTGGCGTATGTGCCGGAATGGTGGCAGCGTTGAGCTTGTTGTAAGCGTGAACGATACGCCACTTACCGTTCGGCTTCCGGACACAAAACGTGTGTCAGATGGGGATACATGCGCTCACGCATCATTACAACGTCGTGCTTCGCACAGAAGAAAGCGTCAATGACGTATTATACAAGCCCATTGTGGGATGACCGGTTCCAAAGAACTTAAAGAACTTGCGCAAGTGGTTTGACTTCGCCATTACTTGCACAAGTATATCGAGAATACTGAGGAAATGGCACGATCATTGTCGAATCTCCTTAAGAGAAATACGGAAGGGTGTTGGGACATCGAGCAT